CAAGTCGCTGCGCTGCAATCGGACACCCGAGTTTAGTCTGCTCACCACAGGACGAAGCATCACCAATCCAAGGCCGTCACAGCGGCGCGCACCGCCGCCCTCGAACTGCCAGTCTGGACCCTCGAGCTCGACTTATCCCCCCAACTTGTCCCCCACACTACCCGACCCGGACGACACCTCGCATTCCAGCTTGCACATTCCACACAGCCCATCATGAACGGCACTCAACAGACCCAAGACGCTGTCGCACAAGAGCCATTGCAGCCAGCAGCCGCCAATGCTAATGCTGCTGCGAACGCCAATGGTTCGTCGACGGCGGCTAAGAAGCGCAAGAAGGAGAGTCTGAAGCCCATTATTACCACCGAGACACCACCGTAAGTTTGACCAAGAAAATTTTCCTTTTCTTTTCTTGTCTTTTGCTTTGCTCTGCCCTGCACTCTTCATGCCGCATTGTTGTTTTATTTCCGTTACCGTTGATGGCGGGGAAGTTGCAAATTGCTGGTTTTCATTACCTCAATTTTGTTGCCATTTAGCGCCCCAAGCTTCATTTACACAGGACATTATCACCCTTTCAACATCCTCCACCATCCACACTGTTACCCCTCTATCCTGTCTTAAAAGCGCCGCGCCCGGTGCCGCACGTTCTTCCCTGCGCTCCATCCGTATGGCGGGGCGAAGTACGGGGGGCCAAGCAACACAGACCAGGCGAGTTTGAGCCTGTCAAGTCCGACAGGCCCTGTCCAAGTCCAATTCAGTCCAGTCCAGTCCGGTTCAGTTCAGTTCATATCCAGTTCAGTTCGGCCCAGTCCGATTTGGCACACGGCACAGCGAAAGCAGAGGGCAGTGTCCAGTCAATGTGCCCAGCACCGCGCCGCGCAGTTTGTCTCACACCCGGGCATCTGGACATATGCAGAGCAACGGACCGCCTTCGAAAGATGCTGCGACAGCACTGTCAAAGACGTGGAAGAAGAGCACGATGAGACGACAGACAACGAATAGATGCTCAGGGGGTCCATCCAGTGGGACCAACGCTGATACCCGACGACATGGTGGCTCTGGATTGGATGTTACCGTTGCCGTTGCACAGGGAAGCCATTGGCCGAACCCAAGATGGACGTTTGTTTGGCGCGCTGAACGTCAGCCAGAAAGAATGGACGGCTCCTCCACACCGCAGATATTACGGGTCGCCAGCTGTCGCCACCACCGCCCGGTAGCTCAGCAGCAGCAGCGTCAGCAGCAGCATCACCACAACCCTAGAAGCGTAGCAAGCACTTGGAAGTTGGCGGTGCATGTTGTTGATATGCCTCGTACTGCGCTCCGCCTGTGCGACGGCAGATACCGGAACGTTTTGGAGGAGAGATGGCCAAGACTGCGCTCCATGCTGCGCAAAGCATCATACTTAGTGGTGGTGGTGGCATGTTGGCATACTAGGTGCGCCGACCGGCGCGGGAACGTTTCTGGCGCCACCACTTTGACGAGCGAGACATGACCGTCACCGTCATCGGTCATCTTCAACAGGACTAACTGGACTCAACTGAACTGGACTGGTTTGGTCTGCTTTGCATTTGACAGACGCACTTGACTGTGAATATTCACTGTTGGAGACTAGAGGTCGGCATACCAAGCTGGTATCATCCTCACATGGTGGTCTGAGAGAGGTATCACGAATCCTCAACTCGCTCACCCAACACCCCAACTACCAAGTTGTGGCTTGGGGGTAGGTGCAGGCGCGGTAAAGGTATCCCAGTGCCATGCTTGCTTGCTTGTTGGTGGCACTGGCAGGTTGTTGTTGCTGCTGCTGCTGACGCGACTGCGAATACAACCTGAACCCGACGGGAGGACGATCTGCTCTGGCTTTGAGGTGGGCAGTCCCCGCTGACCCTCACCGTCCACCCTGACCCTGAGGTGACGCTACCCGACCCTGGCCCAAGTGGCCCAGGCCTGGGATTCTTATTGCGTCGCCAGACCACCTTCTGACCCCCCGTTCCTGGCCTGCTGTTCCCGCCCGTTCTCCTCACTCACATCACTGACCCCTCCTCTCCTCTCATTACCTGCTTTTTTCTTGCTACCTTACCGACTGGGGGTGCCCTTTCTGTGCCTTATCCGTCCAGAGTGTCCCGCTTCCAGTGCCTTTTAGTTGGGGATACCGGAGACAGAGAGAGAGAGAGAGTGTGTGTGTGAGAAAGAGAGAGGAACACAGAACACACAAGAAACGAGCAGCAGCACCAACGGCACGCACGCATTGTATCTTTCCTACGTACCTGCCTTACGGATACCTGCCTCTTAAAAAAAAAACCTTCTTTGCTCACTACCTACCTACCTTATCGGCCTTAACCACGCTGGCCTGCTGTTCTTATTTTTTATTTGCCTTTTTTCTTGCTGGCTGAACACATCCCGCGCCTCACCCGCCGCCTCGCCTCGCCTCGACCGCTTTCCACCTACCATCCTTTCCCTCCCATCCATCTTCCCTTTTCAACCTTTTCTTTATCCACCCTAGTCGGCCTTCGACTGGACTTGCCGCTGTCACTTCATTCTACCTTTTCACTTTCCCATGTTGTGAACGGCACCAGTTTCGCACTGGATCTTGTCCTGGCTATCATTTCTGCCAAATTTCCCTTTTTTCCGCTTGTTGTTTCGATCTTTCCCATCGCTCGGTCCTCGGCTTGTTCGATCCTCTTTTTCGATCCATTCCTTTCTTTGCTATAGGACTGTTCGCGCCGGATGCGCAATGTTGCAAACATGAGCTTCCTAAAGACAAGGTTTCTGCTCTTCCTTCTCCTCCCGTTGTCGCATTCCGTGGCCCGTCTGGCGGCTGCGAAATCTTTGCCCACCGACCTGCTATTCTCCACCCCCGCCATTTCAATCACAGACACGACGCCGCTTGTTGCCAATTTGCGCGCCATGACCTGAACCACTGCTACACAGACTGGCACTTGCGACATTGAAGCTAACTCCTTTTCCTCTGATAGAACCCATCAATTGTCCGCTGCCATGCAGAACTCGCCGACTTCGACATCATCAGGCGAAGACCCCGCCGAGAACACAGCCGATGAGGAGGATTCCGAGGATTACTGCAAGGGCGGCTACCACCCCGTCCAGATTGGTGAAAAGTTCAAGGACGGAAAGTACACCATCGTGCGCAAGCTTGGATGGGGCCATTTCTCCACCGTCTGGCTTTCTAGAGACAACAACTCTGGCAAGCATGTCGCCTTGAAGGTTGTTCGCTCTGCCGCGCACTACACCGAGACCGCCATCGACGAAATCAAGCTCCTCAACAAGATTGTCCAGGCCAAGCCAGACCACCCCGGCCGCAAGCATGTGGTCAGCTTGCTCGACTCCTTTGAACACAAAGGTCCCAACGGCACACACGTCTGCATGGTGTTCGAAGTTTTGGGCGAGAACCTCTTGGGTCTCATTAAGAAATGGAATCACCGAGGTATCCCTACGGCTTTGGTCAAGCAAATCACGAAGCAAGTGCTGCTCGGCCTCGACTACCTACATCGCGAATGTGGCATTATCCACACCGATTTGAAGCCCGAGAACGTCCTCATCGAAATTGGTGACGTTGAACAGATTGTCAAGAAGGTCGTTAAGAGCGAACCTGGCGACAAAGAGAACAACAGAAACGGTCGCAGGAGGAGACGCACTCTCATCACAGGCAGCCAGCCGCTACCGTCTCCTCTGAATGCTAGCTTCAACCACAACAACCTCTTCCCTAGCACCAACTCCAGCCTCAGCCAAGTGCTACACGAAGGTACTCGTCCCCTCTCAACACCGCCACTTCGTTCAAAACGGGCCTATCGCCCCACGGACTCTTCTACTCCCATCATGTTCTGCTTAGCGACCGCATGCTGACTCTTGCTGCGATTTTAGATGGCAAGACATCTAGCAACGCTTCCCCCAAGCGCGACGCTGACCAAAAGACGCGCGAAAAGACAGCGTGAGCATTACCCCACCTGGCCAAATAGTAGAAGAGGTTCATCTGATACTGACCGCTCTTTCTCACCACAGTGATCTCCTCACAAAGGAAGTTTCCGGCATTTCACTCGACAAGACCAACTCACCATCTTCAGGGGATAAGCGCAAGGCGGATGATGCGCATGCATTCGATGTTATCAGCGTCAAGATTGCGGATTTGGGCAACGCCTGTTGGGTCAACCACCACTTTACCAATGATATCCAGACCCGGCAGTATCGGTCGCCTGAGGTCATTCTGGGCGCGAAATGGGGCGCCAGTACCGATGTTTGGAGTATGGCAGCAATGGTAAGCATGACCTACTCAGTGCTATACCCATCTGGGTCGTAGCAGGTACTTTTGATCTTTTCCATCTAACGATAAACTCTCAGGTTTTCGAACTCATCACAGGAGATTACCTCTTTGACCCTCAATCCGGAACCAAGTATGGAAAGGACGACGACCACATTGCACAGATTATCGAGCTTTTGGGACCCTTCCCCAAGTCACTTTGCCTGTCTGGCAAGTGGTCCCAAGAGATTTTCAACCGAAAAGGCGAACTGCGAAATATTCACCGCTTGCGCCACTGGGCTCTGACAGACGTCCTCCGTGAGAAATATCATTTCAAAGAGGAGGAGGGAAAGCGCATTGCCGATTTCCTCACGCCCATGCTTGAGCTGGTACCTGAGAAGCGTGCCAATGCTGGAGGTATGGCTGGGCATGTGTGGCTCGACGACACGCCGGGAATGAAGGGTGTGCGAATCAATGGGCTCGAGGTTGGCAGCCGAGGCGAGGGCATCGATGGCTGGGCGACTGAGGTGCGGAAACGGTAGGGAGAGTCAGAAACGATGACCGCTTTGAATGCAGGGGTGCCACCAAAGATATTAACGTAATTTATTTGAACGGTCACGGGCTCCCACTCCCCCTGCATTGCATCATCAGCATTTCTGCATCTTTGTCGCCAGCGTTGTTGTACCCTGACTTTGGCTTGATGTTCGCAACCTTTTTATAGCACAATGCGCGAGGTTCCGCTCCTTGCAAGTGCCTAACACAGAAGCGCTTTGTTCGCTGCTATACACCCAAAACTTACAACTTGATGAAAGTACTGCAATTGACAGAGGGGAAGGAGAGGATGATGATCGAGGGAGGAGGTAAAGAAGGAAGGAAAGGAGAGGAAAGCAAAGGAAAATGGAAGGCAATGGGGGGGGTGCATATAAGGGATGGAGAAAGCCAGGCCATAAGTGGTGAAGCATAAACAGAGTTTGACGGTTTTTGTCGGACACAATGAATAGAATCTAGGAGAATAGGAAAGGATGGGACAAATGGGAAGCTCTTACCCTACAATGAACATACATGATTTGTGTGCCGCGAACCATTGTCGGGTTTCCTTTTTTTTCTCTTTTTTTTTTCCAACAAGTAATGTGTGCCTCGAACGCACGCCTGTGATTTGTAAGTGCTATCTTGATGATGGATGTACTCTGATGGAGAAGGAGATGGAGAGAGACGTATGTTCAATGGAAGGAGGTGATGCGATGTTCAGAGGCAGTCGCATGGGCGTTCCTTTCCTTCATCTTGCTTCAATGCGCTGGATCCTGAGTACCTGGATGAACTTCAATGTGAGCCACGCCACACCCTTCTTGACGTATACCTACTTTTGTGCAGGGCTTGAACAGAAATATCTGGTGATGTCTCACAATGCCAGAATCGGAAAAAAACTAAGGCCTCTTTACTCAGTTCCTTGAAATGTTTGCATTCTTCTTGTCTCGATTCCTAAAAAATCTCTTGCTTGTCACAGCCCTCGTCCCCGGAACGCCAGTTTGATGCTCAAATAATACAAGTGTTGAGCTCTTCTTTTTCATCAAGCCCAGTGAAGGAAAATCATCGCCCCTCTCCCGGGACCCCATGTTGGCTAATCTCCAGCCTATCCTGGCAGCTACTATGCCCTCTTTGTTGCCTTACCGCTTCTTGCGGTTCTGAGTCATCTTTCGGAACGCCTCTAGACCACCAGCACCGATGGGACGATGCTCGGGCGCCCGCGAGACATCGTAGGTGCTCTTGGGCGCGATGGTGTAGCTGTCGGGGAGACCGCCGGGACGGGCACGGTTCGACGTGGCGACGGGTGCGAGCATGGCCTCGCGCTCCAATTCTCTGGCGGATTGGGACGGGCGCTGCGTGAGGGTGAACTGGGAACTTCCAGCCTGGCGCTGGGACATCTTGAGAGCTCTGGAGTGACATTGTTAGCATTGTAAGTAGAAGGCGATTCATGATTATGACGTACTCATAGTCGAACTCGCGCGTCTCAACGTGGCGCTTCTTGTAGTCGTCGGTCCGCTTGAGGATCGGTCGGCTCCAATCACCCAGAAGACGCTCGGCCATGCGCTTGATGCTGGGTTCAGGTCTCTTGGATCGGGTGTAAAAGTAGACAACCTTTCCGATGCCACTGCTCAGCAAAGTCTCCTTCTCAATTGGGAGTCTGATAAGAGTAGTGAAAATATCGCGCTGGATATTGTATGCCGGAAGACTGCCGTCGTTCAAAGGTTCGAGGAAGAACTTGACGTGCTGAAGGAAGTTGGTATCGGGATCGAGGATGGCGTGCTGGATGTTGTTCCTGTTCAGGAGACCGGTCACTGATGGTAAGAGCTTCAGCTTGTGAACGGCTGGCTGGCCAGCCTCGCGCGCCGTGTTGTCAGCTTCGCAAGCCTTCTCCATGGCAACCTTGAGATCGGCAATCTCCTCGTCGATTTCGTCCTCGAGGTCCTGCATTGTCCACCGTTAGCTAGCACTCCCAAGACCGCAAATAACGCGATGGCACCCACAATCTCGTCCTTCTTCTTCTTGCGCTTGGCCGGTCCCTTCATGGCCGCGTCTAACGCCCGATCAATCGCTCTCCGTCTGCGCTCCTCGGGGCTGAGATGGGACTCGTCATCAATCTCAGGCTCGGCAGGCTTGCTGGGCCGCGGCTTCCTCTCGCCGGCATCGGCCTGGCGTCTCGACTTTCTGGCCGGGCCTCTCGAATCGATATCCATATCACCAGAAACTTCGTCATCGCGTGATCTCTTCTCTCGGCGTCCTTCCTTAGGCTTCTTCGCTTTTGCGCCATCGGCAATCTTGCGCTTCGACGCCTTGAGCGTCTTGGCCACATCTTCATCAACAGCTACTGGGCGATCCTCAATATTTGCCGTCTCTGGGTCGTAGTCCTCGAACTGATCCTCGTCGATTTCTGAGAGTAAGTCGTCGTCGGAGACGTTGGCGGCATCCTCGCGGCGCTCATCATCGCGGTCGGGCGCCGGAGACTCGGGGAGGGATTCGATATCCGACATTGTGGCTGATTCAGATGCGCGCACGCTATGGAGGAGTATTCGAAGCGCGACTCTGGGGGTTGATGAGGGAGAATTAGGTTGGATTCAATGAAATGGATAGTGTAAAAAGAGCCGCCTTGCCTCGCCGTCGTCGCCCTTCGATTTTCCGATGGCCCAAGCTCAAGTCGTAAAGGAACTGGGAAGGTGTCACCAGCCACAGGGTGCCCAAATAGTGGATCGCCATCTTTGCCCAGCTGTGGCTAGTGCACGAAAATGCTCTTGGCTCACGTCGGTACGTACTCCACAAAGTCCCAAAGAGCTAAGATCGAAGCCACCGGGAGGTTCCGTTGCCTGAGGCACGGTTTGTTTACTTTGATTTCTAGAACTGTGGTTTGTTCTTGACAGCAGCTACCTCAGAATATTTCGACCCTTGGCCGCCACCCCCGGACCGATCGCGACGAGAGCTGCTAGGCACTTCCCACCCACATCACCACTTCACTTTGTCTTCCCAGATTGTCGCATGCAAAGAAGTTCACAATGGATCGCCGAACCTACGAAAGTCCCATGGAATGGGAATATCAGGACCGAGGTCCCCTAGATGCGACCAGTCCATTTTCCCACGTTGCGAGAAGTAGCAATCAGAATAGTGAGCTCACACCCCAGTCACGATATCCCAACCATCGTCATAGGTCATCCGCTGGCCTCTATTTCGAGAATGTTTACTGACTTTTCTGCCTTTACTCAGTCTTCAACTCGCCCAACAAATTTGCCACAAGCTCCAAGCCGAACCCATTCTCCAGCCCATCCAAGCCGAACCTCTTTGCGAACACCCCATCTAAGCCGCTTCCAGCTTTACCACAGACGTCTCTCTTCTCGCCTCGAATACAAAGTAGCAACACCGCGCCGCCATTCCGAAACCCTGCCTTCACTACCCCGCGCAAACCGTTCGACGAGAGCGCCTTTTCGGAAGCTTCAGGCGCAGAGACTAGCCCCGCCTTGACGGAAAATTCGGAATTTCCAGACGACACGCCCGACGTCGATCGATTCGGCGACATGAACATGGGCACCATCACTCCGTCCAAGGTCAACAAGAACCTTCGCTACGGTAAGGCTGGCCTTCAGTCATTGAAGCGCCATGTGCCCGGTAAGGGCGAGATCCCCCGAAGTGGACGAGACTACCCCGCTATAAGGAAGCGGAAGCGACACAACATGGACAGGGACGTCGGCAGCGTCCGGTTCCACGGATCACAGGATTGGGATGAGTCGGAGGAGGACTCAGACGACAGTGGATCCCGCTCGGCAGGTGCGCGTGGTGGGAAGGGCAGCAGAAAGACGAAGAAAAACCGCAGCTGGATCAGCAATCTCTTCCACACATTGGAGGAACACCCAAATGCGCCCGAGAATCTCTACCGCTGGATTCAACTTCTGATCAACTGCGCCATTGTATCGGGCTTTGTGTTCGTCTGTTGGACCATGTTCGATTCTGTGAGGTCGGATATTCGAAACGCCAACGATGCAGCTCGATTGGACATCGAGAACAGGATCACTCAGTGCCGGACGGAATACACTCTGAATGAGTGCATCAAAAAGGACCGTCCTGCTCTGAAGGCCATGTGCGATGAGTGGGCCGAGTGTATGATTCAGGACTCATCAGCCATCATGAGAGTTAGGGTCACGGTTAAGCAAATCGCCGAAATTCTCAACGAGTTTGCTGGTGCCATGCAGATGAAGGCTTGGGTAAGCAATATCTCCTACTACTATCTTATGGCAACCCAGCTAACAGTCACAGCTCTTCTTCTTTGGCGTGGTCTTCCTCAGCATCATTGCCAACAATCTTGCTCTGGGTCGCATGGCGAATAATGCCGGCCCATCCCGCCCTACACCATCACATCGCGCTTCGTCTGGCATGGCTCCCGAGCCATCAGTGATACCGGAACCCTCTCAGGCGTACATGTGGGTTCCCGTCCAGACGCCATCGCACCGCCGGCACCTGCAGTATGACAACGATGACACCGATACCGACGGTGCATCGCCGCCAAAGATGAAGGCGATCATGCCGCCTCAGACTCCTTCAGGGCGCCGTAGCCCAAGCAAGGGTGATCGCGATCGCCTGCGAAGCCCCACGAAATACGGACGAGCCCTGAGCCCCGTCAAGGGTTACTGAGACAGCAGAAGTAGGCTTACAATGAGGCTCTCAAGGATGTTTACTGTCCTACAGAGGAGTGAGCGCACACAGCAAAACAGGGGTACACAATGCATGGGATTGGAGTTGCAAGGTTTAATTGTATAAAGTACATATTCAGGAACAAGGTTTTGGGGGCCAGATGCGGCGTCATCTGGAGGCTCGGGACGAGATGGGGTGGGCTTCGGCTACTGCGTCCACTGGCGATCAGGATACGTTATTTTGCAAACACACAGAGACTCGCGGGAACTTGATCCTTGCGACTCCTCACAATGCTAAAAAGTTCATTTGTCAATACCCTTCATTGTACGACCACGAAGGCCGCATTTACTACCTACACCGAGCCCAGCTTACCGTTCGGTAAGGTACATGAGCAAGAAATCCGTATGGAGCAGCTTAGGACTTGCTCTTATCGATAATCGGGCTAGGCCCAGTTCGATTTTATGACGTCAAAGAAATGGCCTTTGGCGGAGAATTCGGCCTTGTTAGAATTTGTCCCCACTTCTAATAGACAGGACCATTCGAACTGGGGATCCCTGAATCGCGGTATCGCATTCTTTTCTAGCGCTAGAGCGGAGGAAACCCGAGTTTTTGAGGCTGAACTGCTGAAGCCTCGTAAGAATTCTCAAGGTATCTGTCCGCGGCAGATCTCAACATGACCATAATTGACTGTCCGGTAGCTACCTGTTTCATATACCTCATCCTTAGAAAGAGCGCATCCAGCTCATGCGA